TAGCTTTCACTTTTTTTGTTGTCTTTCCCTTTTGTTCTGTTTCTTCTTTCACAACGTGACTAATGTGGAAATGTTTAATATGATCGCACACATATAACCTATATTAGATTGCTTGATGTCTTGGGGAGGGGAGAGGGAAAGGAGGGACAAAAATTTGGAGCTCGAAAATCTTATACAAAATGAATGTTGAAAACTATCTTTACATGTAATTGAAAAAATAAAACTTAAAAAAACAAGACTTCTGTCTCAGGTTGGAGAAATTTCATATCATATCATGCAAATTTAAGGTGGAATAAATGGGTGAGTAGCAAACAGTAACACTGGGAGGGTTAAAATAGTTTATTACAGCATAGTGGGGTATGGACAGATGAAGTCAGGGTTGCATGAGGTCTCCTTTGGCCCCTTGGGACAACATACTGGCTGGTGGACTAGAAGAGTAGTGGGATGTCTGTCAGTCAGTCTGTAAACATTTATTAATTCCCTATTATGTGAAGGCATTGTGCTAAGCTCTGGGAATACAAAGAAAGGTAAAAGACAGCCCTTGCCCTCAAGGAGCTCACAGTCTAATGGGGGAAGGAGCATGTAAATAAATATGTACAAATAAGTTGGAAATAATCAACAGAGGGATGGCACTGAAATTAAGGGGGATTAGGAAAGGCTTCCTGCAGAAGGTAGAAGGATTTTAGCTGAGACTTGAGGGAAGCCAGGAGGCAGAGAGGAGGAGGAAGAGCATTCCACATATGGAAGACAGCCAGTGAAAATGCCTGGATTTGGGAGGAACGGCAAGGAGACCAGTGTCACTGCACTGCAGTGTCCATGGAAGTGGGGTGTAAGGTGTAAGAAGACTGATGGGGGGGTAATGAAGGGTTTTGAAAACCAAAGATTTTATATTTGATCCTAGTTGTGGGGAGCTCCTGGAGTTTATTGATGGGGTGTGTGTGTGACATGGTCATATTGGTGCTCTAGGAAGATCACCTTGGCAGCTGAATGGAGGATGGACAAGAGTGGGGAGACACTTGTGGCAGGGAGACTGACCAACAGGTTATTCCAACAGTGTAGGGGTAATGTGATGATGTCAGAGAAGGGGGCACATGTGAGAAATATTTCTAAGATAAAATCAACAGACATTGGCAACAAATTGGACATGAGGGGTGATCTTTGTTTGAAGGCCCAGAGCTATAAGGGGCCTAGGTTTACATAGGATTTCCAGACAAAGGGTTGGCCATGGCAACTGTTGTGTTGCTCGTGGGACATTGGTGTCAGGGAGCATGGATCAATAGCAAAAGGTGATTACATAAAAAATTAACCAGAAAGGCCTATGCAAGATGAAGAAAGTGGAATTATAACCATACCAACTTGCTGGGAAGTTTCAGCAGCCAGTTCTAACTAGAACTGGGTACAATTTAAGCTTTTAGCATAGAGCTGTGTAACTGGAGAAAGTCCTGGGAGAGTGGGATCATAGTCTCCTCTAGTTATTCAATGGTTTGCTTTAATTTTCCTTATTAAAGCAATCCAAGTTTTTTGTTGTTTTGGGTTTTGGGGGGTTTTTTTTAGAATTGTTAATAATAGCCAGGAAATGCTCACCCTGGTACTATCTTTATGCTCCATGTCAATCTCCTTTAGCAGTATGGTTTTACCAGTTTCTTTTACTTGTCTTCTTTCTTTGGCCAAAGGCCCGCTATTCTTACATTTTAAGTGTGATCCAGAAATTCAAAATCTGCTTTCAGACACCAGAACTATAATTGGATCTTTTGTCATCTACAGGTTATGCTTCTACTTAGGGAATTTACATTTAAACAAATAGTGAAGTCTTCTTGGGTACCATATTTTAGGAAGGACAATGAAACAGGAAGGAAATGAGACTTTAGAGCATGACCTAATAATAAGAGTTGAAACTATTATAGTGAGTGGGAAGATAGCAGAATAAGGCAGAATACCTGGCTCTCTCAAATTTGCCTCTAAATAACTTAAAGTAACACTTCAAATTGAATTTTAGAGCGGCAGAAATAATAAAAAGTTAAGGTAAAGCAGTTGTCCAGCCTAAGACAACTTGAGAAGACTTTGGGAAAAGATCTGACCTACCTGCATAGTGGTTTGGTTGGACTGAACTGAAACTACCACTGTGTCAACAAAGAACGAGCCTTGGGGGCAGCCCTAGCTTTAGGAACTTTCGCACCACTGACAGTGGGGGAGGGGGGAGGGGGACAACAGGCAGCTGTTCAGGGGAAGGCTTGTGGTGGTAGGCCCCCCCTGGCACTGAACACAGGGCCCAGGTGCTGTTGACTGGGTGTGGTAGTGGCTAGAGCTAACAGAAAGGAGAGGTGAACACACACCAGTGAGTGCAGTTGCAGAGGGGCATGGCCTTACAGATGGCTCCTGGTTAACTAAGAAAACTGACTGTGGTCACTTTCAGGAGAGTGGAGCCCCAGTTTTGGGCTCCAGGGCAGAGGGGTGAACTGACTCTTGGGGGAAAACGGAGACCAGTGGCATGTTTCTGGGACCGCAGGAGTGAGAGATTTGCTGTGGCAGTGGTGGGGGTGGGGTGTGTGCTGGTGGTGGCTCAGGGGTGGAAAGGAGTACTTGAGGTCACTTATAAACCAAGGTGTCAACTGGAAGAGCACAGTGAACACACCTGACCTTGGATTATAGCACACTGGAAGAACCAAAAAGATAAAGACCCCTAGATAAAGCTCTAAAAACAACATGAAAAACCTGAAGCTTGAGACATTATCCCCACCCCCCACCCTGGGAATAGAGCCTGACCCTAACAAAAAGTTAATAGCCAAGAAATAGGCCATTACAAAAATGAGTAAAAAATAAGATAAGAACCTGACCATAGATAATTACTATGGTGATAGCAAAAGTCGGGGTTCAAACTCAGAAGGCAATGAAGTCAAAACAGTTACTTATGAAGCTTCAAAGAAAAATATAAAATGGTCACAGGCCCAAAAAAGAGTTCTTGGAAGAGCTTAAAAAGGACTTTAAAATCAAATAAGTGAGACAGAGGAAAAATTAAGAAGAGAAATAAGAATGATGCAAGAACATCATGAAAAGGAGTCAACAGCTTGGAAAAAGGAGGCACAAAAAAATACTGAAGAAAACAACACCTTAAAAAACAGAATAGGCCAAATGGTAAAAGAGGCCCAACAATCCAATGAAGAGAAGAATGCCTTTGAAAAGCAGAACTGGCCAAATGGAAAAAGATGTACAAAAATTCACTGAAAAAAATAATTCCTTAAAAATTAGAATTGGGCAAGTGGAAGCTAATGACTTTATGACACATCAAGAACTAATCACCAAAATCATAAGAATGAAAAAATAGAAGAAAATATGAAATATCTCATTGGAAAAACAACTGACCTGGAAATGTGAGGATAGTGGAAAATTTTGACAACAGATAAAAACGGAGAAATGTTTTTATAGCAAACTCTTTTCACTATTTTTTTTCATAGTGTAGCCATCACATCTGTACGCTAACATTACAGTCTGCAGGAAGAAATGGAAAGGGTATTGAAGAAAGGTGGGGCATACAGTTGAATTAGACCAAGCAGAAGGTATGTGTTAAAGGTGACACAATTTTAAGGATAATGAGGGATTAATTCTCAAGCTATTTGAAAGAGAAAGATATCAAAGGAATGGGGAAAAAATCTAACTTCTTATTACCCAAAAATGTAACTAAGAGAATATTAATAATTGCCAACCCAGATGCCTCCTTTCCCAGCTATACACAACTTTTATGAGAATAATCTGTACATATATTGATGACATCCTTGATTGAAGGTATGTGAAGGGAGTAGACAGGTCTCCACAAATGGCATTCTACAGTAGACTATATCTTTACAACCACTGACTGAAAAGTATAAAGAATACAGATTCCCACTGGACTTACTGTTTGTGTAGCATAATAAGAACATTTGATGTAGTAGAACAAATGCTGCCCTCTAAAAACGTTGCCACTGCCCTTTCTCCCTAACTTGTATTTATCCCGTAAATATGACATAGGTACGTGTTGTCCCTCCCTGATGGAATATAACTGCCCTTGACAACAGAGATTATTTCATTTTTTCTATCTGCATCCCCAGTGTCTGGGGCACATCATATGCACTTAATACGTGACTGTTGATTAACTGATTGGAAAAGGAAGGTGGTTAAGTTACACAGCAAGATAGATAGCTGTCCTGCTGCATTAGTACCCTCATACTATGAAGAAATGTAAAGGAAAGGCCAGGATGGACACTCCCCACTGAGAGGAGCATATATGGGAGAACGTACAGAAGTCGCACAGGATAAAGAAATGTGCTCTGGACTCCTGGAGAGAACCCAAACATCAACAATATTAGAGATCCATTGAAGTGTTTCAACGTCTGCAACTTCCTTCCGTCATCTTTGCTTCTGGACAAACCTCCCAGTTTGATGAACAGATTAAGTGGCTTCATGGCAGGAGGGTGGCCCTACATTAGCGATAAAGTATTGATTCCCCAGCTGTCCTCTAAGAGATGGAGGTAGAGCCTCCTTAACTTGAACTGGTCAGCCTTCTGTTAGAAGGTCTCAGAGGCAGTTCATGGGCAAGGAGGATGCCTTGTACCTTACCTCCTGCTACTGGGCTCTGGCATCAAGGATACTGTTCTCCTCTGAATCCCTATAGCATGAACAAGGATGATGCTATTAGTGCACAGTATAGTGCTTGAAAATTCAGGAAACACTTTGCTTATAGTACTACGATTTAGGGGTAATTACTCTCTAATTGTTCCATGTATATGATTCTTATCTTTCTAAACAGACTGTGAATTCTGAGAGCAAAGCCTAAGGGTTATGCTTCTTTTATATCCAATTCAGTCCCTAGCACAGGGCTAGGCACATGACAATTTAATAAATCTATGCCAACTGACATATGGATATATGGAAATGGCTGGAGCTGGGCTGGCCTCAGGACTGTCATCAGCTCATCATGTACAAGGTGTTGATTCCACCCTGCTGACAAGAAGAAAGGATAGAAGACCAAAGGAAAACAAAGAATACTTTATTATAAGGGGTTAGGTAGAATAGATTCAATAAATACAGGTAAACACTAGAAGTCTGGGAGTGCATCTCAGTCAGGGCTCACCCCTTTGTGGCAAGCATCTGCTCACTCCAAGAAGATGCCAATGAGGGAGGGCATCAGGGGAAGAGGCCACCCTGACCCTTACGGCTTTGTCCCTCTAGCTGAGAGCACCGAAAGCAGTAGACCTGCTGTGTATTCTGGCACAGAAAAACTGGCTCTAATCTTTCTTTTCTAATCTTTCTTCTGGCAAAACCAGGCTAGGTACAGGGATCTTCACCTTCAGGAAACAAGTGCAGGAAGGGGCCTAAGACCTTCAGAGGTATATTGATCAAGGATTCTCAAGCAAGCCTAAGTCCTGCCCCCACTACACGCCATCAGTTACCGGGAAGTAGCCTGGGCTGACCTGGGAGTACAACATAGAGGGGATGGCCTAGGAGATGTCAGGCTGTGGGACAGTGACTTATCGAGTTTTCGGGCTTCTGCCTCCAAGACGTTGGCTTCAGGGGCCTGAGCTACAGCCCACAGTGAGTGGGAAAGGTTGTGGTGCAGGTCTGTCAGCTCTCGGCTTGTCTGCACACAGCGGGAGATGTAGTCCTGTTTCTGCTGCCGCTCCAATGCGAGTTGTGCCTGCAGGATGGATACCTGTGGGGAGTAAGAGGGATGCCTGCCTGTTATCCTCTTGTCCCTGGGCCAGGTGGTAATGAAATCCCTCTTCATGTCTCAAAGAGGAAGTCCTCTGCTCTGAGATATGAGAGGTAGTCTAGAACATGATTCTATCTTTGTGACAGCCTGACCTCTAATTGTTTTCTGAGTCTTTCTCAGTTAGATGAGATCGTGAGGGCAGGGACTATACCTCATATCCCCCCACATGCTAAGAACAGGGTTGACACAAAGTCAAAGCTTAATGAAGAAATGTTAAAGTCAGCTTCCAGAAAGGATTTTGGAAAAAAACCCAATGAAGCCACAAGCACTCACCTGCCTCTGTAGCTCAGCCACATGTTTCAGTTCTGAGGGAGTCTCCTCTTCCCCTTTTTCCTGCTGAGAAAAACATGATCACATCTCTGTAGGGCTGCCACTCACCCCATCCCATCCCTAAGAGTCAGGGTCTCTGCCTTCCTTGCCTTCTAGAAAGCAAGAATAGGTCTGCCACAGCTAAAAAGGTGTGGCATTCTCATGGCTATCCCTGGGGGGCTGCCCAGTGCTGCAAAGAGGACCTTGGTGCTCTGGATTCTGGGTAGCCTGAAGGCCCAGGGATGGAAAGACCCTTGGGAGATCAGCAATTCTCTCACCCCACCTTGCCCACTCCTGTGGTGTGTGAGCATACCTGGCTCTGCTGTTGGGGAGGAATAGGATTGGGATGACATAAACTACAAGACTAGAACTAACCGCTAGACTAGAGTGAGTAAGCCTAGCTAAGGAAATGGGCCTAAAGCTAGCTGTTCTGGGTAGAAGCAGGAAGGATAGATAGTCATATGGCAGCCATCAATAAATGAGTCCTGAAGCCCAAAGGATTGGGCCATGTAATACAACAGGGAGGCTGCAGTTCCCACCTCCCTGCAGCTGAGGGGTCAGTTAGGCCAGGTTGCAGCCTCCTCCTCTGCTGCACAGTGTTTGGGAGGCTAACAGGAGAACAGGCACTGGGGGAGAACTGGCTCATCTTGAGCCTGGTCATGATAGGTTCCTGGGTGGGCTGAAGTAAGTGTTCCACTTTGCAAATTGGGCCCTATCTTTGTCCCTCTGCAGAATTCCAGAACCTAGATATCCTGACAAAGGACCTTCCAAGCCTAGGAATTAGAGAAAACAAATACCTGCTGGGCTGGAGTGAGGCCTGTGCTCTTGTTAAGCAGGGGAGTGGCAGCATGGCTCATGCGGCCGAGATCCCTCTTCAGCTTTTTTCGTTCACGCTCTACCTATTGCCAGGGAAGACAGTTGGTCAGTCCTTCTGGACATGGATGTCAGAATGGGGCCTCCTTCCCAGCAGGGGAAGCCCATGGGGGGAAATGGGGAGGAAAAACACTAGAGCTCAAAAGGAGTGGGTTCAGGGGGGTAAGCTGCCTGGGTGTAAACAGGGTCCAGTTACTCACCTGCTCGAGGGTGATCCTTAACTGGAAGTTGTGTTGCTGAAGCCGATTCCTCTCATGCTCCAAACTCGCCATGGCATGCAGCAGGTACTTTAGCCTTTTCTGCCATCGCTGTGTCTTCTCAAGCTCTGTACAAGACCCATCATCATCTGGTCCTGTGGCCTGAAGGAGACACTTTCCAATGAGATGTGTACTGTGAAGTTTCTCAACCAAATCAGACCGCAGCCAGCCAGGCACAGTATTCAGAGTCCTGACTCTGCCAGGACGGGTGCAGGACCTCAGAAACTGGCCAAGAAAAGGGTCCACTGTCCCTCCCCTCTACCTAGTCTACCTTCTTTTTTGCGATCCCCAACTCCCCAGCCCACCCCAACTCACCTCGCCTTGGGCTGCACACTGGTCTCCCTGGAGCTCTGGCTCTGCCCCCACAGCTGAGCCCTGGCTCTGGGACTGCTCCTCCTCTAGTGCTTGTCTTGTGAGCCGCAACTGCTCCTGTGTGGTAACCGGGGAACAAGGGCATCAACCTCAGCCAAGATCTTCATAAAAGCCACATCGTCCTCTCACTGATACAGGAATGAGAGAACATCCCTCCTCCCGCTCCCACCATCCGGGGCCTTGTCTTCAGGTGAGCCCTTCAACGTGTGTTGTCTCCCCACTTAAAATGTCGGCTCTTTGATGGCCCTAACTGTCCCACCTGTCTATCATATTCCCAGAGCTTAGCACAGTAGTTGATACTTAACATAGTAGGTAGGTACTTAACATAGTAGGTAGCAGGTACGTAGTAGGTACTTAACAAATGCTTTTCATCCAAATCCATTTTCTATTCCCACAAGCCTGTCATGTTGGTTACAATGAAAGTTGCTTCTTCTATCTGCTGCAAGCTCCCAGGAATCCAGGCCCATGTCTATGGCACTAAATTCTTCAGATCAGTTGGTGACTGGGCCAGGCATACACTAAAAGCTCACTTACACTGTTAGTGGGAAGAAGGATGGACCCACCAACGAAAGGAGAATCAGTGGGAGCAGGTACCATGAGGACTGAGTGCAGGCTGGGAAATCTTCTAGAAATAACCTATCAAACTGCTGATCCTTTTTATTCTCAAGTACCAGGATTGGACGAGTGTGAGTTTGTCTACTCATGCCAAATGACAGGAGCATCAGGCAATGACAGGAAATATCTCTTACAAACAGAAGGGGGTATGTTGTGATAGTGACGACCCATGTGTCATCTTGAGCATCGTACCATAGGTTGCCAGCTTCATAGTTAGTGTGTTCTTGCTTGGCCCCCACGAGTGGCAGGAAGTATCCCCCCAAAGTCTTTATTCCTGCCCTCCCAAGATTATTTGAGGATACAGATAAGGGAAGGCAGGAACAGAGGTCAGGAAAGGAGTTCTCCAGTTCAATTTAACACACGTATGTGAAATGTTTATTATGTACAGAGAACACTGTGCTAAGTGTGTGGAGGTAGGTAAGGGGGAATGAGGAAATATAAAGCTATAGTAACTAAGACCAAGGGTCTGCCTTCATGGATGTCACAGTCTAGTAGGGGATATGACACTTACATAACTATGTTAGAAAAGAGAATAGGTAAGTTGAATAGAGGAGGAGCAAACAAACTATTATATGAAGTCTGAAGGGACAAAAGTGACTGAGGGGTTGGCTCAGAGACTCAGGCATGAGTCACAAGATGCTTTCTTAGAAGAAAGCATGGCATTAGGGATTTGGTCCCTCTTGCCAAATTTAGGGTTTTGGTTTTTTTTTTAAACTTCTGATAGGAATCTGGCTTTTCTCTGAGGCATACTAAATACCTGACAGCATGGTGTGAGCTAGCTCTCGAGGAGAAGGGGGCCAGCTTCTCTTGGCTAGACATGTTGAAGCGTCAATGCTTTCCTGAGTTCCTGACCCTAGATCTCATTAGCCCCAGAATGCCAGGTGACAGCAGGAAGCAAATGATCCCTGAGCTAGTTCTGTGGGACCCTTCAGTCTGTTTTGGCCACCCTTTCCCATCCAGTAACTGACCTGAAGCTGCAGGTGTTCTGTGTTTTGCTCCATTGCCTTGGCCTGTAAGAACAGGGCTGCTTCGTGCAGGTTACAGATGCTGGCCTCACTCTCAGCCAGAGAACGTGCCAAGGCTTGGGCTTTCTCTCGCCATTCGATTTCCCGGGCCTCTGTTTGCCTCAGGGCATTCTTTACTCGCTCAAGCTCCTCCTGAAGCTTGGTCTCCTCCATGGACACAGGTGATATCTCACGCAGGGACATTTTCATCATCCCCATCTCACAGGCTTCTTCCTCTTCCTCCTCCACTTTCTCTGGGCTATGGCTTTCATTGTAAGACTCCTGCCCCTGCCTCTGGAAGACCTTTTGCAGCTGCAGGACCTCTCTGTCCTTCCTAGACAGGGACAGCTGGAGATGCCTGAGATTCTCTTTCAAGACCTTGCTTTCTTCTTCTTCTTCTCCTTTGCCTAGCTGGCCCAGGGCTGCCTCTCGCTGCTGCCCCTTTTCCTTGAAATGCCTCAGCTCTCGGTCCCTCTGTGCTAGGGCCAGCTGCAGCTGCTGGGCCATCTCTTGGTGCTGCAGCTGCTGCTGCCCAATCTCATTCTCTCGCTCCCTCAGGGCCTCCTCCAGGTGCCGGGCCTGCATCTGACAAGAGTCCAGGGCTGCCTGCAGAGCAGCTGCACTGACTTCCAAGCGCTGGCTTAGTTCTGCCTGCTGGAGGAGCTCCTGGTCTTTTTCCCGAAGGGAAGCCTGTGCTGCTCTGAGGGCCTCCTGGAGGGCCTGGACCTGGCCTGCTGCAGCCTCTTCCCACTGCCTGGCCTCTGCCTTCTGCTCATGTCCCTGCTCTGTACACTGCTGTCGCAGGGCCTCCAGAACCTTCTCTTGTTCCTGAAACTCAGCCCTGAGATCTCCCAGCAGCTCTTCCAAAGCTCGGACCTGCAGCTCTGCAACTGTCTGTTGTTGCTGCACCTTCCAGTTCTGTTCCTTGTGAGCCTCAACTGCCTGCTCGCGCTCCTCCAAAGCTGCCTTGGCCTGCTCCAGGGATGCTTGCAGAGTGCTCGCCCGCTGTTCCTGGCTCTCCTGCTGCTTCTGCACCTTCTGCTGGAGGGATTCCAGGTCTCCCTCTCTGGCACGCAAGGCCTCCTGCACTCTCTCCAGCTGGTCCTGCAGAGCCCTTTCCCTGGACTCCCCTCTTTCCCGTGCTTTCTCAATATGCTGTTGCTGAATCTCCAACTCTTGATCTTTCTGAGTTAAGAGTAGTGTCATTTCCCCAATCTTTCTCCGAAGGCCCTGCAATTGCTCTTCCCGCTGTTCTCCATACTGCTGGAACACCTGGATCCTCTCCCGCTGGTACTCCACCTCCTTCTCCTTGTCCCTCAGGATCAGCTTCATGTGCTCCAGGCTGCTGCGCTGGGCCTTGGCTTGCCCCTTTTCTTCCTCTTCTCGCTCTATCATGAGCTGTCTCTGAGACTCAATTTCCCTGTCTTTTTCCCTCAAGGCCAATTTCATCTGTTCAAGGTCTTCCTTTAATAATTTGTTCTGCAACATTCTTTGATCTTCCAGGGCCAATATTTTCTCTTCTTGTAGTACCAACTCCTGGCCTCTCCTCTCTAGGTCCCAAGTAAGTTGATCCTTTTGTTTCTTGAGCTCCGCCATTTGGTCTCTGTGAGATTTCATCTCCTGACTTCTCTCCTCAAGATCTGCTGTTAGGAGAGCACTGTGGTTTTCCAACTCTTTAATCCGTTTGCTCTGTGACTGCATTTCCTGACTCCTCTCCTCCAAGTCCAAAGTTAGATGGGTCAGAGTAGTCCTCTGCATTGCTCTTTGGTGCTCCAGGTCCTCAATCTTCTTTTTCTGAGATTCTATTTCTTGATGATTCTCTTTAACTTTTAAAGCCAGATGTTCTAGAGTGACCAACTGGTTTTCCAGATCTTGAATCTGTTCTCTCTGGGACTCTATCACTTGCATTTTCTTCTGTAAATCCAGAGCCTGATGGTCCAGGATGTTTCCCTGAGTTTCTTGCTTCTTCTCAAACTCTTCAATCTGCTCTCTCAGTGATCTTATCTGCCTCTCTTTCTCCTCCATGGCCATAGGCAGATGTTCTAGCACAGCTTTCTGTTTCTCTAGCTCTTGGATCTGTTCTTGCTGGGATTCCAGGTTCAGAGACAGATGTTCTTGCATCACTTTTTGTGCTTCTTTCTGCTCTTCCAGCTCTTGAATTGTTCCCAGCAGGGCTTCTAGATCCTTCTCTTTCTTAGAAAGCGAGCTGGTCAAAAGATCAAGATTCTCCTGCAGGACCTTCCCTTGGGCCACCTTCTGTTCATCCCATCTCTTCAGGGCCTCTGCTCTCTCCCGCTCGCTCTCTGCTTCCTCAGTCTTCTGTCGAAGGGCTGAGCGAATTGTTCTCAGTTCTTCTTCCAGGGCTTCTATGGCACTAGCTTGTGCCTTAGCGGCTGCAGCTGATATCTGAAGGTGTTCCACCTCCGATACCAAATTTTCCTTAGCTGTCCACAACATTTCTCGTTCATTCTGAAAACAGAAACAGAACCATCTTAAAAACTGGACTACCTGCTGCCACTATCCGCTTCGAAGGGTAAGGCTGGAGCAAATTATTCCCAGTTTACAAAGAAGGTGACTGAGATATAGAAGACTTAGGTCTGAAGTCATACTGCTTTATAGGTGACGTCTGGACTAGAATCCAGCAGCAGAATCCTTGGGCTCAAAGGAATTTCAAGAAGAAAAGCCTCCTGTCTCTGGGCATATCAGCTTTCCAGACTTCTAATTCAGTGCTCTTTTCACATAATTCTGCCATCGTGAAATTCTGGGACACTAGTGTTTTAAAAATAATGCTGCTTCCATCCCAAGGGCCCTGAGGAAAACGGCCAATGTAGGCCATTATATCCTTTGCCAGTTAACATTCACTATTGCTTGAAGCTTCACCTCTGGAATTTCATCTCTGTAATTCTTATTAGGTTAGAATAAGGCGGCACAAAGTCTTAGGGGAACAACTGGGAAATTAGGGCCAAATCCTTAGCCCTCTAAAATTATCCATATAAAATTGAGAGATGATTCATGTATTTTGCCTGAACAATGAAAATCATAAAAGACAGGGCCCCAAATTCTCCTGTGTAACAGGTTCTGTCTCATCCAATTTCCATTTCCTACGAAGTCACAAAATTAGTATCCTTCTAAATCAAAGGACAAATATACATTAAAATTAACTGTACAAAAAAGAAGAGAACGGGGTCTGCCATATGTTTGCCACATATGCTGGGGTAGTACCTAAAGAGGTCAACAATACAGAAGGAAATGAGGGAGACAGACTCCAAAAAGGGATGGGGAATGGAAGTGAATGTTTGAAGTACAGCTAACATTGAGGAGCAGCCTTTGCACCATACTTTATATTTCACAATGCCCAAACAAAATTCTCACTCAGAGAATTTGGGGAAGTTAAGGAAAGAATTGAAGAGAAATAAAATCCTTAATCCAGAGCAAACAACTTAATGAGGATTCTTCAAGGCCCTGCTAGCAATTCTTAGGACAAAACACAGGCAATAAGACATAAGGGAAAGAGCAGTGAGAGGTCAGAATTAAATTTGGAGCAGGTTATGGTCTTGGGCTCTGGGCTGCTGGGGAACCAGGGCCCTTGGCTCCTTGGGGACCATTGCACCAGTTTAGAAGGGAACTTTTAGAGCAACCTTGGGTCTGAGGCAAGAATCATTTCACCTGGGCTTCTACCCTTTGCTGCTCAGCACTCTTCAGGCTGCTTTGCAGGGAGGCCACTCTCTCCTGAAGTGCAACCAATTCTGTCTCCAAGGAGCTCTGCTCCCCTTCCCATTTCAATTTCTCTGTGGGAAGAGAGGAAGGGGATGTAGAGAGAACAAATAGCAAGGGGAAGCATGGAGAAAAGGATGAGGAGAAAGTTAGAAGGGAAAAAAGAGAAAAGAAAGATTACATGATTTTTACAAAGCTAAAAATTTGGCAACTGTTTGGGCTCTGGGTATATCTCCACTCTCATATCTGTGTTCTCCTTACCAGGCCCTGGCACTGCCTCAAGCTACAACTGTTTCAACACTGTTCTCAACCAAGTTGGTTGCTGCTCCAGTATAGTCAACCTGTGCAACAGGGAACCATTGTGTCTGGTGTGCCCAACTTTCAAACATGCTGCCCAGAGCAACACTGTCCCTGATGCATGGACATACTGCAAAGGGAACAGATAAGAAGCCTCCTTGGCCTAGAGTCTATCCTCCCAAGGCATATATCCCTACCTTTCTTGCTACTAGCTATCAACCTTCCCCTAGTGTTATTCACTCCAGGGTGAACCAGGCCTCCCACCTTACCTTTCTGATTCTGGGACAGCAGTCTCTGGAGTTCCTCAACTTTGGCAAAAAACTGGTTCCGTTCAGCTTCAGCTTGGGATAGACACTGTTCCAGCTTTTCAACCTGACACTTCATATCATCCTATGGGAGGAAATAGGAAAAGCAGTTTTGGTTCACACAAAGTAGTCTGACTGGGATGAAGCAGGGGGAAGAGGAATTGAAGTTTGAAAAAATGGCAACCTCCATATTAGGGTGGTACCAGGTGTGTATGCTTCATCTGTTCAATTATATCCAATTTCCTGGAGAAAAGCCAGAGACTATGTCTTTTACTTTTTATTAGGTCCACAATGCCCATCACAGAGCTTTCTACAAGTCAGTTTCCACCAGAAGTACCTTGGGAAGTGATAGACAGGATCATCACTGTCAAATAACAACTAGGAAAAGAATAGGATGAATTGGCTAGCATCGTTCAGTGTACTGCTTTTCTGAGGTCAGCTTGGTTCTTTTCAAATTCCAGAGGTTCAAGGGGCAGTTAAGTGGCGCAGTGGATAGAGCACCGGCCCTGAAGTCAGGAGTACCTGAGTTCAAATCTGGCCTCAGACCAAACACTTGACACTTACTAGCTGTGTGGTCCTGGGCAAGTCACTTAACCCCAATTGCCTAAAAAACAAAACAAAACAAAACAAATTCCAGAGGTTCAAGCTGAGAACCAGATCATCCAGTAGTTCTGGTCTAGCCCTAAGGTTGTTTCTGTCCTCCTTACCCTTGAGATTTTTTTCTGTCTGTCCAAGGTACAGCTCAAGTCTCTTTTCCTCCAGGAAGCCTTCACTAATCACTCTAACTTACAGAGTGTATTCTAGTATTCTTTACCTGTGTCACATACTGGCTATCATGTACTACCCTGTGACAGCTCCTGTACCATTGTCTACTACTGTTAAATACTTGTAAAGATATTTTACTTTTGGTTGTGTATATCTTGTCTCCTTAATCAAAGTCAAGGCTCTGGAGAATGGGAACCATGCTTTACCCTTCTTAGTTTCTCCCATAGTGCCTAACATGGAGGGGTCAAATACAGAATCACAGCATTATACAATGTTAAGAGCTGGAAGGAACTAACTAATTTCATCTCCTCATTTTATGGATATGGAAATAATCGAAGATATTCAATAAGTATTTCTGATTGGTTGGAAACCTAATTGGAGGGACTTAGCGATATACCTTAGTCTGAAGCCCTGGCAACATCATGGGCTTAAAAGATGACAATCTTAACATCTAGGAAGCTCTGGAATCAGTTTAGTCTTTCTGGGATCTTGAAACCAAACTGATCCAGTCTTGGCCAACTTGCCATGAAAGGGACTAAATTCCTGTGAATTTCTGAAATGATCTCAAGAATGTGATATTAGACTGTTACAATTGCCTCCCTCTCCTGCATCAGATAAGACAGAATCGATAGAAGAGAGAAGGTAAGACAGTAGAGACTCCAAAATAAGAAATAAGGCCACACACCCGAGCATGATGAGCCCTCCAGAGGTCTCGCTGAAGCTTATGAAGGGCAGATGCCACACCCTCAGTAGTTAGGGCAATCTGGCTTTTAAGGAAATTCTCTGCATTCTCTTGCTCTGAAAAAAATGAGAAAAAAGGGATAGGTGTATAATCTGCACACACACACACACACACACACACACACATTTTTTTTTTTGGTGAAGCAATTGGGGTTAAGTGACTTGTACAGGGTCACACAGCTACTAAGTATCAAGTCTGATATGAGACTGGATTTGAACTCAGGTCCTCCCGACTCCAGGGCCGGTGCTCTATCCACTGCGTCACCTAGCTGCCCCTGTGTATTATCTTCAGAAATGGATATCTTATATGAAAGGAAGAAACTAAAGTTCAGTCAGAGACCCCTCCTGATATTTCTACCTGCTCTCCCTTTGGCTTAGACTTAAAAGCTCCCTTCTCAAACTCCTATTCCTCTTCCAACAGTCTGTTTTCTATCACAGAAATTGAATTCCCTTTCTTTCTCATGGGCCCACCCCTGTCTCTGCATTGAGCCCCATGCTGATCCTTGGACAAAATGATCAGTTCTCGAGCAGCTGACTCACCTGGCCCCAAGGCTTTGGGGCTCCAGGGAAGGGGAGAGGCATCTCCAGCACCATTCAGCTCTAGCTTGCTCTCAACAGCTGTTCCAAAGGTTTGCTGTAGGATGGAGTAGAGATTGGCTAGCTGTGCCTGTGCCTGACGTCCATGTTGCTGCTCTAAAACCAGAGCCCCTACTTGGCTTTCCATACTGCACAGCTGTAGCTGCAGCTGGGCTGCCTTGGCCTCTTGTGTCCACAGTGAGGCTCTCAACTGCTGCTCTGTCTTCTTTGATGCTTCCAATTTCTCCAAAAGTGTTTCTCGATCCAGAAGCAAAGCTTCCTTTTTCTGCACTTCTTCTTCCAGAAACTGTACCTGATGGGGAAGGAACACACTCAATGGAGGAAGAAAAGAGAAGAGAGAACATCTCTAGAGGCAGCTAGATGGTGCAGAGTACAGAGCACTGGGCCTGGAGTCTGGAAGGCCTGAGTTCAAATATAGTATCAAATATCCCAGGCAAGTCACTTAATGTTTGCCTCAGTTTCCTCAACTATAAAATGGGGATAATAACAGCACCTACTTCCCTGGATGGTTGTGAGAATCAAATGAGATAATATTAGTAAAGTGCTTAGCACAGTGCCTGGCACATAGTAGGTACTATATGAATACTTCTTCCCTTCCTCCATCTTGGAGGAGAGACCTATGATGATACAATGACAGAAAGAACAGATAATACACTGGATGATAGAATCAGGATCCAAAAAGATCATAATAGGGTGGTGCAGTGAGCCAATTAAAGTAACATTTAGTGAAGATAAATATAGGCTTATATTTTAGTTTAAATAATCAACTTCACAAAAGCATGGATACAAAGCAGTTTATCTGAAAAAGATGTGAAAGTGTTCATGGACTACAAACAACACGGTGGGCAAAAACACTAATGTGATACTAAGTTGTATTAAGACACTCGGAAGTCACTAGTCTCAGGACTAGAGAGGTGAGAGAACGTACATTGTTCCCTGGTCAAACTACTTCTACAGTATTGTGTTATTTTCTGTATGCCATATTTCAGGAAGAGCCTTTCTAAGCAGGAGAGTATGCTTAAGTGGGTGACTAGGACTGTGAAGGATCATTCCATAAAGACCCTGGCGAATGAAGTAGGGACATTTTGCCTGAAGAAGAGAAGACATGAAGAAGACCTGACAGCTGTTTTTATTTGAAGGGCCGCCAGGACAGAACTGAGATTAGACTTGGTATACTTGGTCCCAAAGGAAAGAATAAGCAACAATGAGTGGAAGTTGCCAGGGAGGCAGAGCCAAGGGTCAAGGGAGAATTTCTTTACATGAATTAGAGCCATTCAAAAGTTCAATGAGTTGCCTCAGCAGGTAGTAAGGGTCCTGTTCACTAAAAGTTTTCAAGTAAAGACTGGATGACCCCTGGCAAAGTATGTTAGAGGAGTGAGGAAACGGGCACAGACAGAGGCACAGATATGGAGAGCTGAGACACCAAGACAGTCAGAGAAAGGCAGAGACAAATGAAGCAGAAAAAAAGGAAATCCAGAAAAAGAGAGACTGAGAAGCAGAGATAGGAGCTACAGGCTGGACTAGGCAACCTCTAAGTTAACTTTAATTCTGAGATTTGGGATTCTACACCATAAGAGGCAAAAATAGAAACAGAGAAACACAAGTACAGAGGCTGAGGAAAACAAGAGAAGCTGCTCAAGTCTCCTCCAAACCTGCCGTTCTCTGTTACAGAGGGCATTTGTACTCAGGTGTAGACTGGACTGAATGGCCTCTGAGGGCTCTTCCAACTCTGAGATCCTGTGATGGCCCAGGCTTCTACATGCTTCTAGATGTTCAAGACAAAAAATCTCAGCTACATTCTCCACAAAAGAGAGGCACACTGGACTAAGAAACAGGAGACTTGGGTCCTACCTCTGACTCTGCCATAAACTAGCCATATGACCACAGATGTTACTTTCCCTTTCTCAGCCTCAGTTTTCTCATCTGTGAAATGAAGGACTGACTAGATGATCTATAAGGTCTCTTTCACTTCTAATGAGTTGATGACTCTAAGACTCAAGAAATATGAGGAGAAACAAATTTGGCAAAGCTGATAAAAGAGAAATAGTTTACATTGGATAGGCTGGGGGAAGACAAGCATTTTAAGTCACTGTTGGAGTGTGAACCAGGCCAATCATGCTGGGAAACAATTTGAAATTATGTGAGAAACTGTCTCAATTCATCGACCCAGAGACCCTGGGCATAAATCCGAAGGAAGTCAAAGACAGAAAAAAAAAAGGTTCCATATATACCAAAATATTCATAGCAACAATTACTCTAGTAGCAAAAAAACTAGAAACAAAGTGGGTGCCCACTGATTGAGAATTGGCTGAACAAACTATGGTATATGAATTCAGTAGAATATTATTTTGCCACAAGAAATGATAAACAAAGAATTAAGAGAAACAAGGAAAGATTTTTACAAAGTGATAACAAAAGTAGCTAGGTGGCAGTGCATGGGCTGGAGTCAGGAAGCCCTGAGTTTGAATCCTGCCTCATTTAATCTCTTAAGGCTCATTTCCTCATTTATAAAAATGGAAAAAATAATAGTATCTACTACTTCCCAGGGTCATTGTGAGGAACAAACCTTAAAGCATTATATAAACGTTAGCTATTATTACAGAGTGAGATAAGCTGAACCAGGAAAATAATACATATAATTACAACACCGTAAAAGAAAAGAATACTAAAACAAGGTTGTAAGTGGTGTTTTGGTAATGGCCAATCTTGTTCTCTGAGATAAAAGAAGGAAATGAATTTCCCTATTTTCATTGTAAAGATGAGACACTGCTAATGCAGCATGTTGCACACACTGCCATATGTGCTTATCATGTCATTTAGTTTTCAAGTACTTTTTACTGTTGTAAGGGAAAGCTTACTTAGTTGTGTGTGTTCGGGCAGGCATATTCAGAAATAACCATAATGTAAAAACAAAAGACATCAATGGGGCAACTAGGTGACCCAGTGGATAGAGCACCAGCCCTGGAGTCAGGAGGACACGAGTTCAAATCTGGCCACATAACACTTATTAGCTGTGTGACCCTGGTCAAGTCACTTAACCCTATTGTCTAGCAAAAAACAAAAATAAATATATAATAAAGTTAGGGGCAGCTAGGTGGTACAGTGGCTAGAGCTCCAGCCTTGGAGTCAAGAGGACCTGAGTTCAAATCTGTCCTCAGACACTTGACACCTACTAGCTGTGTGACCCTGGGCAAGTCACTTAATCCCACTGCCTAGCAACAACAACAACAAAAAGACATCAATAAAGATTTATAAAAGAAAACTTTAAAAAATACAAAGAGGGCCATTGCACTCATGGAGAGGGATTTGACCTATAAATCTTCCTAGAGAGCAGAGGCTAAGAAGGCCTCCACCATGGGAGTTAAGAGGAAGGGTACAAGAGGCACTAAGGTACCTGGGCACTCAGCTGCTCCTGTTCTCCCTGGGCCTTTTTCACATCCTGGCGTAGGGATTTCAGCTCAAGCTGCTGGACTGAATCAGCCTCCTGTAAGATGAAGAGTCTTTGTTCCTTCTCTGCTAGTGACTGAACCAGGCTGCAAAGAAAAGGAAGATGGAACTGAGACCAGAGTTACCTGTTCCTCTGCCTCGCGGGTCATGTCCACTGAACACTACAAATCTAACAAAACAATGGCTAACGTGTTGATCTAGCAAAGAAAAGACACGGGGAATATAAAAATGGTCCAATCTCAAGGAAGCGGCTTTAATTCTAGGTCAATCCTCAAAGGGGGAGGTGAGTAATGTGGACCTAAAGCCAAACGAGAATGATTTCCCTTGGCTATTATTATTTGTTTTCCAGGTCAAAACTCTTTGACCTCTGACTCTCCTTTAACTCCTGAAGCCAATCAAGTCATATAATCAGAGCAATCTTTCCTTCTTATTTCCACGACTACCACTCTCTACCCACGAACTCCTTGTTGGCTTCCTTTCTAATTTCCCCAAACTACCCTAAATACTACCACTAGATTAATCTTCCTAAATTCTGTTATTCCTTTGCTAAAAAATTTATGATAGCTCTCCACTGCTTACCACATCTAGTTCAAATTCTTCTTCTTGGTCTTCAGGGCCCTCATAATCCAGACCTACCCTACATATCTAACACCAAACAAACTATTATGCTGATCTAGTCAGGTTCCATGATAAGCAGGCTCATTCCTGTTGCCTAGTCTTTGTTCGTATTGATCCTACTTCCTTGAATACTTTACTCTATCCACTGGACCACTCTAGACAGCTAGGTTAGAGAGACTTGAATTTGAATCTTGCTTCAGACACGTACTATCTGTGGGACCCTGAGCAAGTCACTTGGCCTCTGTCTGCCTCAGTATCTTCAACTGTAAAATGGGAATAATAATTAGCACCTACCTCATAGGGTTGTTGTAAGCATAAAATGAGATAGTATTTGTAAAGCACTTAGCACAGTGCCTGACACATAGTAGGTGCTTAATAAATACTTGTGTCCTTTACCTGATACTTATTTTTCTGGGTTTAATTCAAATTCCCACTCTCTCCATGAAGCTTTCCTTCACTACTCTAGCCTACTGTAATCTCTCCTTTCTTTGACTGAACCACATATTTTGTCTCTTGATTATATATTCTCTGGCATTGTTATCTATTCCAGTAGCATGGTACAGTGGAAAGCATGCTGGACTTGGGAGTCAGAGGTTCAAATTCTAGTTCTACTACCTGTTACCTGTGTGACCTGTGGCAAGTCAACTAACCTCTCAGGGCCTCAATTTCTCCATCTGTAAAGTAAGGGGTTGGTCAAGATCAAGGTGTCAAATTCACCAGCATCAAGCTGCCAGGCAGAACCAGATTAAAACATAATTGGGAAATGTTTAACAAAATAAATAAAAATATAATATGACACAAAAAGATATTGTTAATTTGTGGTGTTCTAAGTCAATATGTGGTTACAAGGATGCATTTCTATTTAAGTTTGACACCAGTGGACTAGATGACCTCTAAGTTTCCATTAAGGCCCAAAGCTATGATCCTATGATATCACATGTATGTAATTCTTAGTGTATCCTGTATGAGTCTTCAAAACCTATAATACAATCACAGTTTTCTGCATATATGTCACCCCCACCCCCACTCCGGCTCCATACTAGAGTACACTTCCTCATCTTCACCTTTCAGAATTTTTATCTTCTTTCAAGATGAGACTCCCTGATCCTTCCAGCTGAAAAATGTTCACTCTCTCCTCAAATTTTCTTTTCTAACTAGGATCTCTCCTTTGCCCCTGTCATACTCTACCCTTGTATTATACTTTCCAGGATACATTGCACACCCTCTCTCAGGCCCCAGCAAGTAGCATGTAAGCTCCTTAGTAGTTTTTATCTTTGTATCCCTTAGACCCTGGCATAATGCCTTGCTCATCTTAAGGTCTAAATATATGTCTGTTGAATAGCATTATTTTAAATATACTCAATGGTGGCAATTCTTCCTACCCTGAAGACAGATGGGATTTATGGAAGTGACCCAAAGTTATTTACACACAAGACTAGTACGTAAGTAGGTTGAGTGAGGAGGGAGCCAAGATGACAGAGTAAGAGCTAGTATTGTAGCTCTTTCAACACACCTCCTCCGTAACCACCTAGAAAATGCACCAAACCAAATTCTGATCAGGAAAGCCAAGAAAAAATTACTGTGAGTCAATTTTCTAGCCCAGGGCAGCTTAGCAAGATAGACAGAGAGGTCTATAGACACTGTGATTGGGGCTGGCCAGGAGAGCAGTGAGGTGGCAGAAGCAGCAGTAGGACTAAGAGCAGCCAGGGATGGAAAGGAAACCAAGACAGAGCACCAAGGCAAAAAGAGATCCCAGGGGACCTCTGAACTAGTGCTGGGAGCAGGAATGGGTGCCATCTGGCAGTTCTGTGACCCATTACCCAGTTCGAGGTTAGAGATCCAGGGTGGAAAGAAGTGGCTGTGACCTAGCTAAATCCTAGTAGAGTACTGAGCACAAAACAAATTCCAGAAACTCAGTTGTATGTCTCTAAGCCCAGGTGCAGAGTAGCCCCTCACATAAGCCTACAGCGGAAAAACAAGGGCAGAAGACCAAAACCAAAAGGGAGCCAGCAGTTCAGTCACTCTGAATCTGCAGAACCTCCCAGTGGTGACTGTGACTAAGTCTATCAGCAGTCTGTTGAAACTCAACTACAGACATGCCAATAGACCCAAATCTGGATCAGGAACTTGCAGAACTTGGACAAGGAGGGTTGTGAACAGACGTCTTCCTGGACCACACCACTTCAGAAACATTAAAAACTTGCAAGTCCCCAGATTCAGCAGAAGCAGAAGAAGCCAGCAGAAACTCAGGACAGACCACCCTACTGCAAAGTGAGCTGACACAAATACAATATCCAAAGTCAAAAAGTAAACTGGAAGAATGAGCAAACAAAAAAATCTGACTGTAAAGAACTACCACAGTGACAGTGAAACTCAACACACACACACACACACACACACACATACACTCACACACAGAGAAGATAATGAGTTGAAAACTTGACATTAAAACCTCCAAAAAAAAACCTCAACAACAAAACCAGATTGGACACAAGCCCATAAGAATTCCTTGAAGAGATAAAGAAATCTAAGAAGAGCAACAAAAAAAATTTAAAACCCAGATAAAATCAGCAGAAGAAAAAAATAGGGAAAAAATGAGAGCTATCCAAGAAAGTTATGGAAAGAGAATTAACAGTTTGGAAAATAAGTTACAAAAACCTCACTGAAGAAAGTAACTCCTAAAAATTAGAACTGGTCAGATGAAAGCTAATGACTCCATGAGACATCAACAAGTAATAAAACAAAGTCAAAAGACTGAAAAAATTAAATAGAATATGAAATATCTGACAGGAAAAACAAATGACCTGAAAATAGAACAAGGAGAGATAATTTAAGAGTCATTAGTTTATTTGAAAGTCATGAACAAAAAAAGAGCTTGGGCATTATATTTCAAGAAATGATAAAGAAAAACTGCCCAGATATTTTAGAACCAGAGGGCTTAGAGAAACCCTAAAATGAAAACTCCTAAGTATATTGTAGCCAAAATCCAAAACTCCCAGGTCAGGGTGAGAATACTACAAGCAGCTAGAAAGAAAGAATTCAAATACTACAGAGCCACAGTCAAGATCACACAACATTTAGTAGCTACCTGTATAAAGAAGCAAACGGATTGAGAGAGCAAAAAATAGTTTACCTGTGAGATTTATGGAGAACAGAAGAATTTATGACCAAACAAGAGATACAGAACATTAAGAAATGTAAAGTGGATAATTTTGATTACATTAAATTGAAAAATTTCTGCACAAAGCCAAAACAACCAAGATTAGAAGGGAAGCAGAAAATTGGGAAAGAATTTTTACAACTAGTGTCTCTGATAAGGACGTCATTTCTAAAACATAGAGAACTAAAGGCCTCACTTCTTTTTTTTTTTTTTTTAAAGGCAATTGGGGTTAAGTGACTTGCCCAGAGTCACACAGCTAGTAACTGTTATGTGTCTAAGGCTGGATTTAAACTCAGGTGCTCCTGACTTCAGGGCCAGTGCTCTATCCACTGTGTCACCTAGCTGCCCCCTCATTTCTAAAATATATAGAGAACTAAGTCAAATTTATAAGAATACAAGTCATTCCCCTATTGATAAATGGTCAAAGGATATGAACAGGCAGTTTTCAGGGGAAGAAATTAAAGTTATCTATGGTCATATGAAAAAATGCTCTAAATCACTATTGACTAGAGAAATGCAAATCAAAACAACTTTAAGGTACCACATCACCCCTATCAGATTGGCTAACATGACAAAACCGGAAAATGGTGAGTGTTGGAAAAGATATGGGAAAATTGGAACACTAATGCATTGTTGGTATAGTTGTGAAATGATCCAACCATTCTGAAGAGCAATTTAGAACTAAGCCCAAGGAGCTATAAAAATGTGAATACCTTTGACCCAGCAACAGCACTTCTAGGGCTGTATCCCAAAGAGATCATAAAAATGGGAAAAGGACCCACATGTACAAAAATACTTATAGCAGCTCTTTTTGTGGTGGTCAAGAATTGGAAATTGAGGGGATGCTCATCAATTGGGGAATGGCTGAACAAGTTGGGGTATGTGAATATAATGGGAATACTATTGTGCTATAAGAAATGATGAGCAAGAAGACTTCAGAAAAACCCGGAAAGACTTGTATGGACTGATGCTGAGTGAAGTGAGCAGAACCAGGAGAACATTGTATACAGTAATAGCCATGTTGCGTGATGACTAACTTTGATAGACTTAGCTCTTCTCAGCAATGCAAGGATCTAAGACATCTCCAAAGGTCTCATGATGGAAAATGCTATCTACATCCAAAGAAAGAACTAAGGAGTTTGAATGTAAATAGAAGCATACTATTTGCTCTTCTTTTTTTCTTGTTTTGTTTTGTTTCTTCTTTCTTGTGGCTCCTCCTATTGGTTCTAATTCTTCTTTACAACATGACTAATGTGAAAATGTTTAATGGGAATGTATATGTAGAGCCTATATCAGATTGCATGCCATTTTAGGGAGGCAGGCAGGCAGGGAGAGAGGGGGAGAAAATTTAAAACCCAAAAGCTTATGGAAGTGATTGCTGAAAACTAAAAATTAATTGATTAAAAAAAAGCAGTGAGATATGATATTTTTAGAATATGATATTATGGAAAGCAAAGGAGCTAGATTTGCAACCAAGAATAACCTATGTGCAAAATAAGTATAATCTTATAGGGGGAAAATGGACATTTAATGAAATAAGAACTTTCAAGCACTGATGATAAAAAGATCAGAGCTGAATAAAAAATTTGACAATCATACACAGGAAACAAGAGAGGCATAAAAAGGTAAATATGACTGAGAAATCACAAGGGACTAAACTAAGTTAAATTGATTATTTATATTATTATATGGGGAGATGATACATGTAATATCTTAGAACTTTATCAACACCAGGATCTTAGAAGGAGTGCAATTAGATAGTCTGGGTGTGATTCTACTATGTTGGGATGATATCAAAAGAAGAATGGGAGGGTGGGAAAACTACTGTCACAAAACTAGACAGATGAAAGATACACCCAAATCCCTTGCTTATTGACTCTTCTGTATCACCCTTCTTGCTTATAAAAGAGGATCTCAGAATTTCATTCTTCAGCTCTATCAGAGGGCACCTTCACCCCAACAACCTAATTCCATATAGCTCAGGGTTTTGTTTTTTTTTTAACCCAGGATCCACATGGTCCAGGGATAGATTTCAAGGAGGATTACAAACTTGGATGGGAAAAAATTACATCTTTATTTTCACTAGACCCTTTAGCATTTCCTTCGATTGTGAATATAGGTAACAAACTACAATAGCATTATCAGAACCCAACTTTGTTACCAACAGAAATAAAAACTATTTTCATATTACATTATATATATCAAAGTATCATTTATACTCATCACTACTTCAAAATTACTATAGTTACTAGACCTGTTGCTAGATTGCACTTGATTATAATCCTGCTGTCTACATACACTATTTTAAGGCAATTGGTTTCCTTTATAATCTTCTGTATTTTATTTTATGCATTTAAAACATTACTCTCAGAAGGAGTCCTTTGGCTTCACCAGATAGCCAAAGGAATCCAGGACACAAAGGTTAAGCAGCAGATTGTCACCTCCCCTCAGAGTATACAGTAAAACAAGAGACCAGGATCTGTATTTATGGTATGAGAAGTACTGAATAGGCCAGAAGCAAGGTGATTGCCAGTCTCTGGATGTCCAACACAGTTCTCAGTTTTATAAACTGAAAGAAAAGAAACAGAGGTCTAGGACTGGAAAAGCAAGAGCTACTGTCAGGCAGACCCAATAAGATAAGACATATGGAAAAGGTGAAGAACAGAGAGGGATCAAAGAACCTATAATTAAACCATGTGGCCCATGAAACCAACAAATAAGAAGTAAATTCCCAGAAAGGACTTTCTTCTCAGCTACTCCTTTCTATTTCCCCATCCCCACCTCCTCCTTTTTCATCTATCTAAATTGAATCTATCCTTTAAGACCTAGCTCAAGTTATCATTCATTCATTCAACATTTACTGAATCCTCTTATATACAGGCATTTGGGCTAAGTATTATGGATACAAAGAGATAAAGAGACTTAATTGGGAAATCAGAAACTCGGTATAAACTAATTGCCAAATGACTGGTACAGACCACTAGTACTATAGGAATTCATACTGGGAAGAGATCACTGAAGGCAGAGGTGAATAGTAAAGGTTTCACAGAGAGATTCATGGACTCAGGATTAGAAGGGACTATAGAATCCATTTGGTCCAGCTCTTACCTAAACAATTCATTCCCTCTACATCTGTCAGAAAATGCTTAACCAACCTCTTCCCTAGCACTTCTAAAGATGGGGAACTTAATGACTTTGCTCAGCCCATTCCATCTCCAGGTATCTCTTAATTGTTAGAAAATTCTCCCTTTTACTGAGCTGAAATCTCCCTCTGCTGCCATCTGGGAAACTTCCATTTATTGATCCTAACCCTGCCCTATGACATCCAACCGGTCAAATCTAATCCCTCTTCCACATGACAACATTAAGTACTTTATTCTTCAGGCTAAATATTCCCAGTTCCTTTGATTGATCATTTTATGACATGGTTTCTAAGCCTTACTCACCATCTTCATTGAGCCCTCCTCTGGAGTCCTTCTTCCTAAAATGTAGCTATACTAACTGGACGTACAATAATGCAGATGTAGTACAGTATGAAAGAACTACTTACTTTACCCTGAATACTACTTTTTGGGTCACTAACCTATATTTGTCCACCTCTGTTTCTTGGTGTATTAGAAAGACAATTGCTGGATTTAGGGTAAGAGGACTTGATTTTGAATCTTGCCACAATACTTACTATCTATCTTGGGCAAGTCAGGTTCCTTTTCTATAAAATGAAGGGACTGGGTTTTGTTCAGTTGTTTTTCAGTTGTGTCCAACTCTTTGTGGCCCCATTTGGGGTTTTCTTGGCAAAGATACTGGAGTGCTTTGCCATTTCCTTCTCCAGCTCATTTTACAGTTGGGGAAACAGAGACAGAGTAAAGGAACTTGCCCAGGGTTACACAACTAGTAAGTGTCTGAGGCTACATTTGAAATCAGAAAAATGAGTCTTCTTGACTCTAGACTCAGCACTCTATCCACTTCGACACCTAGTTGCCTAAAGCTGTCATAATCTATAGCCCACTTATTTCTAAATTGTGTGCCTGGCACATAGTAAAAGCTTAACGAATGGTTGTTGATTGGTTATTTACTAACATACGATACTCTTATTTCAGCAATTAGATAAGCTCTGAGGGCAGGGACTGTGGCTCTCATATCTCTTGTAACCCTGACATGACACCCTCACAGCACCTAGCATAGTTACACCTCGGCCAGTAACAGGTTGTTAACCTGTTGGTTGGTCGGTTGATGATCTGACTAGCCTTATGATATGCATGGTAGCTAGATGTCTCCCTGTAAAGTATGGCTGGATGGCTCTAGCTGCCTACCTGGCTTTTTCCTGCTCCAGTACACGAGTACACTCTTGGGCTTCTTGTAGCTGCTGTTGAGCCTCGTGTTCTGCCAGCCTACATGAGTCTTCACTAGTGACTAGCTGGGCCTTCAAGTCTTGCACCTGGAAAAGCAAAAGCATGAGGCGCCAGAGGGTTGAGAGGAGCAATTGCTCAAGGTCTTGGGGGCTTGAAGGTTCTTCAGTTCTGTTGCTGTTATTTGGTCTATTACAAATACTCATGTAGTTTCTAGGAAAGTCAATGACTTTCTACCAGTTCCTCTCCCTCATCTCTGGCAACTACTACATGGTTTTTACTTAGGCATCTGTGTCTTCTGCTTCACACACTGTCGGGGAAGGAGGAGGGAGAATCTCTGCTGCTTCAAAGTCACACAGCAGGCAAATAATCTTAGGTGAATATAACTAAATCCACAGGGAAAGGTTATGAGCAAAGAGCAGGGGCCAGAGGAAGGGGCTTCCTACTGAGGAAAGGAAACTCCCCTCAATAAATGTGGGTGAAACATGTTCCAGCCTAGAGTACCCTTAATCCCCAAGAACTTCTGATAGGAAGACGAGCAGACGATGCTCACTTGAACCTGCACTTCCTCTACTTTAAAAAGAAAACCACACACCACAAAGAGCAGTTTAGGAAAGCAGCTTTACATTTCTCCCACAATGCCTTGGGGGGCAGGGCTTTAGATGACCTGGTTCTGTAGGCTCTCTCTTTGCTGCAACAGGATGTTCGTCTCTTCCTGAAGGGTGGCAAGGTCATCTTGGTGCTTTCTTCTTGTCTCCTTCAGAGCCTTCTGGGCCTCCTGCAGCTGGACCCAAAGGCTCTCCATATTCTCCTGTGAAGGAGAAAAGACAAGATAAGTGAGAAGCAGTGACTTAGCTCATTTGTCTACAGGGGCTTAAGCTCTCAATCTTGTTCCAAATGTCTCATGGTCTATGTGCCCTTTCAATTTGAGTAGACAACTTTTAATTCCTCCATCGTAACCACTTCTTCTTCACCTAAGAGAGCCCTCTAACCCATTTTTCTTTTCATCTCTTCAGTGAGTTTTAATGGTTATCCCAGGCTCTCCACCTCATATCTTCTTTCTGCTTAGCTCCCAGAACTGCTGGCAGTTTTCATTCCCATCATGCATAAGGCCAGGCTCCCTACCTGTTCCTTTAACTTCTGGGTCTTCATGTCCTGCCTGAGTCGCTCTAGTTGCTGGCCAGCATCAGCTAATTCATTCTGGGTCTTCAAGAGTGTCTCCAGTAGTGACATCCTTTCCTCTTCTATCTCTAGCTGCATCTGCACACAGAGACAAGGGAGATGTACATTAGAACAGAGGCGCTCAACAGGATTTCCATACTCACCACCCTTGTAGCCAGTAGGCCATAGTTGCTACAAGACCATCTGGCTTAATTAGCTGGCACTGAGAACAGAGTTCAAGACTGAAAGTCAGGAAATGTCTTAACTTATCTGACAATCAGAACCAGGAAGTCCTGAAAGTACTGTGTGTTTGCAGTAATAACTCAAGGAAGATATATTAATTCTTCCAGAGCATCAATTCACCACCATAGCTGTGACCAATTCACTGCATAGGACAAATTTATCAGAGAGGAAGAATGGGCCAACGTTGGAGGTAATACTGAATCAAAGAGGTATTCTTAGACTTATTCCCTACCTGACGTCTGTTGCTCTCAGCCTGGGCATGATCCTCTATCCTCTGTGCCCAGGCAGCTTTGGACTCTTCCTGTAGCTCCCTTAGCTTCTTCTCACAGGTCTTCTCCAGGTCCACTTTCTCCTTTTCCATTTGTTCTAATATGGCCTCCAATTCCTGCCTGTGCTTAACGTGGTCCATCTCCTGGCCACATGGAAGAAACTGCATCAGCACAGATGGGCAAAGCAAGGCAGCAAATTCTAGCTCCCTAATGTCACTTATTGGTCCCAGTGAGAGAAAAGAACTCCAGGAAAGCCAGAGATTGGTCTTTCTAGAATTCAGGCCCAGTCTAACCAGGATGTTACACTTGGGCAGGAGCAGCACCAGTTCTTTCTGGGATATCTACCAACCTAAAAGACCAAACCTAAACCTGACACCCCAGGGTGTCAGGACTGTCAAAGCCTTAGAAAACTTGCAATCACTTAATGCCTCCACATGACTTCCTCTGGGCACACTCTCCATCTACCTATGCCAGAGCTATGCTGGCCTCCACAGGTAGCTTCCTCAGCTTCTCACAGTTCCCCGTCCTATATATTCCCATGCTTCTTCTAATTCTTGCTTGTGCTGGGAGTACTCTGTCTCCCAGATTCATGGAAGAAACTATGCAGAAGTTGTAGTTACAATATGCAAGGACAAATCACATTCACCCCAAAAATAATAATGACAATGATAACAATTATCATTAACATTTATATCATACATTTCAGCAGCCTAAGAACGGTAGAGCTAATTTCAGATGGGCTAACAAAAGGAGCCTTAGAACCTAGAATAGTGGGATGGATAATGAAGAATTTAGGATCAAGAAAGATAGCTATGGTAGAGGATCAAGATGCACAAGAAAACAATCCCCTCCTGCTACACACCAGGGACCTCACTGGTCCTGTCCTTAAAGGTCAGTGTGATTATCTGAATAATGAGAGAAGGGAAAAAGGGGAGATACTAAGCCTCTCTGCATCCCAATCATGACCTCTGATATTCAGCCTGAGCAGAGTATAGAGATCTTACTAGTCAAAGCCTGGAGAACTGAGAGGGATGAGGGGAGTAGGTGTGGCTAGTTCTGAGGTTAACAGAAACCTATTTACATTTATTTTTCGAGGCAGTAGTGGTGGTGGTGATTTGGTGTTATGTGTAAATCTCTGCTGGAGAACTTGGCTCTAGGAATATGTTGTCAAATGAGAACATTTCCCACTACCCTTACTCTGGCCCTGGGCTCTGACAAGCGACTCCACATAAGTACCCAAAAGACACAGTTCCGTTTCCATGAAGGGATGGATTCTCTTCCTCTATCTATTAACAGCCTAACTCCTAGTTAATCCAAATCCCAGGGGTTCCTTCTCCTAACTTACCTTAATTGTCCACAAAGCTAGACAGAGGATTCCATTTCTTTGGCTAGGATAGGCATCTCTCCTAAGGGGACCTCATGGGGGCACTCTTGTTAGTCCGGACCAGGGCTTGTACTCCCCGGCCTGTCAGTCGCCTTACCCTCTTCTCCTGCAGCAGGCGTAGTTCTTCTTCATAGCTGGCCTGCTGCCTCTGCAAAGCTGCCTGACCCTCCTGCTCTATCTGGTCCCGATGTTTGGCCACCATGTCCCGCTCCTGCTCTGCCTGCTGTCGCTCTGCTTCTAGTTCCATCTGAAGGCACTTCACCTCCTCTGAAAAAGGGGGCTGAGCTTGTGCTCTGACCTCATGGGCAAGGCCCAGCCCTCCACAAGGGAATGTGATGGACCCTTCTCTGGGACTGAGACCTGCCCAGGAGCAGACCCCCAGCCACTCCCAGGGCCTTGATGCCTCTCAGCTTTGCTGAAAGGGAAGGGCCCCAGGCCAGCCTGGCCCTCACCTTGGATCACCTCCTTGGCTTGTGTGATTGTTTGAATCTGCACCACCAGCTGCTCCTTGGTAACTTCCATCAGAGAGCTCTGCTGCTGAGCCTCAAACAGGTTGGTTTCTAACAGTTCTTTGGCTGAGCTGTGAGATCCAGAGGTCAGGGAGGACTCTCTCTGTGGACCATGCCCACCATCCCCAGGCCCAGCAGCCCCTAGGAGCTCCCAAAGTGTCCTTAGTTTGGAATGAAGGCTACAAGCTCCAGCACACAGACTTGCCAACCAATTCTAAGCAAACAGAGGAAGGGCAGGGAACACCCAGCTCTGGGTTCCCGACTTATTCTTAACTTTCTTAGATAGGTGCAGTTGAGGTAGGAGAGACTTGGCAGCCCGCACAGCCAAACCCACCTCCATGTTCATGCTAATTTGTGTGGGTTAGAATTCAATCAGTAACATTTATCAGGCACCAACTAAGCACCAGTCATAGTGTTAAGCACTATGGTTGAACTGAATTGAATTGAAAGAGCTTAAATTCTACTGGGAGAGTCAAGTATAAGTACGTGTAAAATGTATACAAAATAAATATTCAGTCATATGGAGGATGGAGGTACTGATGGTTGGGAGGGGCAGGGCGAGATGAGGAGAGATCTGATGCAGAAGGCAGAGCTTGTTCTGAGTCTTGAAAGACACCAGTGGTTAGGAGGGAAGGGGGCAGCCAGTTCAAAGGCACAAGCATGGGAGATGAAGCATCATGTGTGAGAAACAAGAAGAAGGGCAATTTGACTAGACTCCGTAGAGTGGCTGAAAGGGAATAATGTATAATAAGCCTAAGAAGGTAGGTTGGAGGCTGGCTGTGAAGGTTTTTAAACTGTTAAGCAGAATTTGTATGATCCTAAAAGTAATAGGGAGCCACTGGGAGACAGGGTCAGACGTGGGCTTTTGGGATATCCTTTGGCAGCTATAAGAAGAATGGATTAGAGAGTGGGAACACCTGAGCTGACAATGTGACAAAGGTCCCAACCTGAGTTCCAGTAGCTGCTCAGAAAGATCCTGTCGGTCCCGCTCCAAGGACTTCAGGTGCACCTCCAGGGCAGCCTTGTCCCGGACCAGGGCCTCCTTCTCCTGGCTCAATCTTTCCCGCAGAAGCCCTTGCCGAGCTGTCTCCTGGTGCAGCTGCTCAAGCTCTGCAGTAGCTACCTCCAACTGGTGCCGTACCTAAGAAGAGTAAAAAAAGGAAATGAGGGTGAGAGGAGGAGCAGGGGAAGGGAATGAGGCAGAAGAGATCATTCCTTAAGCCACTTCCCACATTAGGATTCTTATAGCTTGGCCATGTGAGAGGCCACAGAACACTGGAAGGATTTGCTACCGAGTAGGGCCTTCAGGGTTCTGTGTGTTTGAGATGAGAACAGGTGAAATCAAGACAGGTAGGTTAATGTGATTATTTCCAGAAACAATGCTACAAGTATCTTAATGAATCCAGCTTGTCCATGATGATTTAATGGTGAAAAGCTATCTATGACTACTGATGGTGAAACTACTCTAGTCCCTTACAAAAGACTTCAGTCCCTTAGGATGATGCTAGTTATAAACTGATACTCGTAGTCTGGAAAATAGGAAGAGAAGAACCATAAAGTCATGTTTGCAAAATTAGGGGTTGGCCTTCTAAGGAGCTTAAAGGCAAGGAAGCAAAATGGTATACTTGAAATTAGGAGGCCAAGATTCACAGCTTTCCCCTCCCTCATACCCCTAGCCTCAGTTTCTTCATCCATGAAATAGACATAAAAATATTGGCACTACTTTTCTCAAGTAACTGCAGAAAGGAAATATCAGTTATTATGAAGCTAAGATTTCCAGAACTCAAAAGAGAAAAAAAGTGCAAAGTCAAACAAGAGTGCCTAAGTTTTCTCCCTGTGGCAGCTTTTATAATTGTTGTGAAGCTAAGGGGAAAATGAGAGCCGGAGAACTTCAAATAGCTGTTTTGATGGTGGAAACAAAGTTGGGGTTTTTTTTGTTTTGTTTTGTTTTTGAGGGTTAATGTGGTCAGGGGAGCCTTCAAGAAGGGTTGTAGTATTGAGATACTGGAGAACCACTGCACTAAGACCATAAGCTCATAGACTGAGGGCTGGGAGAAACCTTTGTCTAACCCCTTCATTTTAGAGATGTGAGACTGAACACCAGAGAGGATAAGTAACTCGTCTAAGGTAACACAGGTGCTAAATGGCAGTGCTGCAATGTGAATCCAGGCCCTTGACTCACGATCCAATACACCTTCCAATGAACCACCTGCCTTTGACTATTGGTCTGTGCTGTGTCCTCACCTCCTCCAATTTCTCCTGGGTTTCCGTCTTCTCTTCTCTCACCCTGCTGAGATGTTCCTGCAGCTCTGTCTCAGCATCCTTTGCTTTCTGTAGTTGCATCTCAAGGTGAGCCTTCTCCGTCCAGAGGGCCTCCTTTCTCCTTTCAGATTCATCCAGTTCCATCAGCACAGCACTCCTGGCCTTCTCTGCTGATTCTACTTTACCACAGACAGACTGGTTTTCCTGCTCTAACTGTAATCCCCCAAAGTTAAAGGTGTTAAGAGAGAGGGAGTGGGAGGCAAGAAATAGATGTCAGTAAAACACATAATGTGGTTTAGGGAGCAGATGCTGAGCTTGGAGGGAGTGGGATCCCACCAGCTCACCTGCAAGAGCTGTTGGTTCAGCCTCACTTTATCTAAGGCCAACGCTTCATTCAGTGCACTCAGCTTGACTGCTGTATCCCGAAGATCAGCTACTTCCACCTTGAGGGTGCTCTCTGCTCCTGTCAGCTCCGCAATTGACTGTTCTGCCTATAAACAAAAAGAGATGAAGATTTTCTCCTTTGCTGCCTTCCCAAACAGCTTAAATCTCCCACCCCAGCTTCCTTCTTTTCATACAGCTAAGCTGACTGTAGGATCCTCTTCCTGCTTAAATTCTGAGCAAGGCCCCTCTGAAGCGACCTTTCTGTTCTCTCCGAGTTAAAGGAGATGGGTCACATGCCCTCTCTCCAGAGACACATCTTTCTGCTCATCATGGCTGAGGGACAAGATTAGTCTATACCTTGGCCAGGGCTCTTGCCACCTCTGCTTTCTCTTGATTCAGCAGTTCCTCTTCCAAATGGCTCTTCTCTAGTGCCTCCTTCAGGGTGATCAACTCACTCAATGATGCAGACTGTCTGGCTTCCAGGCCCTTCAAAGTCTCCTGACTATAGGAAGAAGGGATGAGAGAGGGGATCCTCAATGAAATCCTCACGACCACACACACCTCAATGGACTGTCTCCTCAAAGTAAACATCTATGACAGTTATGTGTGCGCATATTCTCCCTCCTAGATTGTAAGATCCTTAATGGTAGGGACCTATACCAGGGAAACAGTTCCAGATTTAGAATCAGGGTCCAGGTCTGAATCCTGGCTTTGCCATTTACTATCTGTGATTGTGTCTTAGGCAAGTGACTTCACCCATCCAGGCCTGTTTCTTAGTGGAGTTTGGATTAGACAAACTCTAAGGTCCCTTTCTGGCTTTCAATCAATGACCCTACGATCCTATATGATCTTTTGGGGAAACTATTAAAATCTCTATTTAATATGAGCTTCATCAAAGTTTATTATTTGAACAAAATGCCAACTTTGACCTTCCAGCCCAGATTCCCCTTTCCTGCCTCCTTTTGGGGCACTTCCTCCCCCACAAAACAGTTACTTAATTAGACCTAATTTCAGACAGGCTTCTTATTGACTCATTCTCTAACACAGTGTATACTAGTGGACAGGAAAAGACAAAAGTGCAAAAGCCTGGAGGTGCATTTTAAGTCAGGTACCAAAGGGAAAGTAGATGTGGCAATACTCACAGGCAATCCCTCTCTCGAACAGCCTGCTGCAGCTGCTCCTCCTGCTCCACCTTCTCCCCCTGCGCCAAGTCCCCCTGCAGCTGAAGCTCTGTGTTGACTCTGCGGAGGCGCCAGGCCTCCTGTTCCAGGACCTCCAGCTGCTGTTGGAGCTCCTCCCTAGCCTTTTCCAGGTGCTCTCGATTCCTGGGAGGAGAACAGGAGTGACCACAGACTCTGGGACCAAAAGTCTTTACCTATGTCAGACATGAGCAGGTGCTTCCCCTGAATTTCCCACCTTTTTTCTGGGGCCAAAGATCTTCCTTAGACGAGAAGGGTTCAATGTAAGTACAATAGACAGCAATGAAGACATGAGGTTTCAAGAAAGTATCGTGCAGGATGGGAGAGACAAGTCCCAGAGCAAGGCTCTTCCCTTCTTCTCAAAAGGAGAAGCAGACAGGGGCAGAAAGGCTCAGTGACCAACCAGCCAGACTGCTTACCTGTTGAGAGAGTCCACCTCCCCCTGGAGGCCCTGGGTCTGTCCCGCCAGGACGTCCCGCTCCCCAGTAAGCTTCTGGAGTCGCTGCCTCAGGGCCTCGCCCTCTTCCTCCCACTGGGTATGCTGATGCTGCCAGAAGCTCACAGCCTCCTGACAGGTTGAAAGCTGCTGCCTTAGGCCCTGGCGGGAAGTGTAATAGGAACAAGGCAGCAGAGCAAATGGTGATCACGGGAGGGATGCAAGAGATTAACAGGTGGGGCTGGGTGTAATAAGCCAGGGCCAAATCAACCATAGAAATGAGGTGTCATTAAAACTGGGCTGCCACCATTTCTAAGGCAAGATCCTTTTTAAGTTTGAGAGTCAGGGAAGTAAGGAGGAAAGTCTGGGGACTTTATGATGGGATATGCAGGTAAAATAGTGGCAGGGAGATTTGGGGCTAGAGGAAGGGGACAGGAAACAGGGGCACTGAGACAAAGGTTCTGAGCTTGGGAATGGCTGAAATCCCTGAAGCCCTCCTCTACTAAAATCAAAACCCAGTTGCAATTCTCATACAGTGCTATGTGAGGGGGGCCTATGTCACTTTGCACAAGCATACTACTACTACTACTACTACTACTACTACTACTACTACTACTACTACTACTACTACTACT